GCCACGACTTCGGCCGGGGGCTCCGGAGGTGCGGGGTCCATGGGTGGGCTCTCCGGGGACAAGGCTCCGAGAAGTGGGGGAGAGAGGGGCCGGTCGGCGCTCGCTGCAGCGGGCTGCGCGAAACCGCGGGATTCGGTTATATTAGGCGGGAGGGGGCGTGGGCGGACGCCACCGCAATGCGCACGGGCGCGCGCCCCGACGACGCATGCGCGCCGGTTTCCCGCCTCTAGTTCGAGCCGCCCGCGCTCCGGACCCGCCCTCGGGGACATTCTGTACCCACAATTCCGCGGGCTCGTCCTCCGTCTTCGTGGACGCGTGCGCGGCTCGTAGCCCCGCCCCAGATCCCATGAGCCTCCGCGCGACACTATTTAAGCGCCTTCCAGCGCGCGCTCGGCCTCATTTCTTTGGCTGCGGTCGGTAAGTTGTCTTGTCCGGTCTTGCGTCTTGGAGGCCCTAGGGCAGCATCCCGTGGCTGCGCCTCGGTGCTGCGCCGCTCGCTGCGGGTGGGTGGCCGTGGGGGGCGGCGGTTGCGTGGTCTCCTCGCACGTGGCACGCTGGGCTTTAGTCGAGGAGGAAGATGGTGGCTTGCGGGGCCCTCTCGGTGATGAGGACCTTCTCACAGACCTGTACTGAGCATTGTGAGGACAGTTTGACTCTGAGGACGCGGGCCCTGCACCCGGATGGCGGCCGCTGGCGTTTGCAGGGAGGAAGAAGGTGCAGGGCCCCGCTGCTAACAAGCTCCGTTCTCCGCAGGAGAAGGCGCGCGCTGCGGGCGCCGGAGAGGCGGGCCGTCTGAAGGTCAGTAGCCGGGCCTGCCTCCGCGGTGGAGCGTGCGGGGCCTGGGGGCTGTGCTATGAGGATGATTCCATCCGAACTCTCTCTTTCCGATGCGCCCGTGGGGACGAGTTGAAGCTTCTGAGTGGCACCGCGGGGCTGCCCGCACCCACGTGGTGCAGGCTCTCGGCGTGTGGCGCGGGGGCTAGAGTTCGTTTTTCCCCCCTAGATGTGCCCCTCGGCAGAGCTTCTGGCTTGGTGCATGGGATGGGGGCGCAGCAGGCCCAGAGCCTCCGACAGGCCCCGCCCCCTGAAGCGGCTCCCCCCAAGCCCCGCCCTCAGGTGAAGTTCAGGTAGGTTCGCGGTCTGTCCCTTAGGGGAGGAGGGGATTTTTCTTCCCGTCTCCGTTTCTCGGGCCCCCGTCTTCCGTGATGATTGTAAAATGACAAGCATATGACTGAGTCTCGAAGTGATGTCATCCTCCTACTGAGAAGGGGGCCCAGGCTACTCCGGGGTCTTCACATTGCTTCCGTCTCGAATTGTTGCTCTTGTCTAATGGCTTCTCTCCTCTCCCCAGCGCCTCACTACCAATCCTGATGAATCCGAAAGCTTCCGGGTGAATGCAGGTAATTGTCCACGTGGGAGCTTAGGGGGGGTGTCTCCCCACCGTGCCCTGGACATGATTGGCTCACCTGTGTTATCTTGGTCTTCCGGGAGAGGGAGAGCCAAGCGGTCCAGTTGGTTTGGGAGGAGGGTGCACCCCATGCACAGGTCACTGTCAGATGATTTGAAGCACAATGCTGATCCTCGGTGAGGTGGGACATACTATGGCATGTTAGAGTTCTGATGGCAGGTGGCTGTGACGAGAGACGATTTCTTCTGCTCTGATCTTTCACTACAGAAGTACTTGCTTTGCTTTCCCAGGTGGTCCTGCTAACTGCATTCATGCGTCTTAGGTAAGTGCCTGCCTTTGGGCGTCTGATTTCAGTGTGGGTCACCATCCAGTGCCATTGAGGAAAGCAAACCTGCCCTAGTCCCGTTTTGCAGTGAGCTCGCTGGGTGGGGAAGGTGGCTGGGAGAGGGCCTGAGACCTTGCTTAGAAGCTGGGAACAATAGAGTGTTCACCTTTCTTTTGCGGGCTGGGATTGTTGTGACTCGGGTGCTGTGCTGATTTAAGTAATTTTATAATTTAGGTGAATCTTTGTTGCCTGGCTACCGGTAAAACAGC